AATAATTGTAGTAACTTAATATTCTTGGAATATGAGCTAAAGAAGGAACGCTCTCGGAAGATTAAAGAAGTGTTTAAATCCAGTGATATTAGGTTTGTCTTATAAGCTCAGGATCAAAACGATTCTGCAATTACCCGAGTAGTTGACTTGTAAATGGCTGTGAATTAAACAGATGACTTTTAATCTTACATTATTCAGTCAGAAAACACATAACATGTTGTCTTTTCATTTAACAATATTGCAACAGTGCCATTTCCCTTGTGTGAGTTTTTTAACTCTTTTTTTCCCCCGGAAAATAAATTCCCATAACCTCCTTTTACACGATTCCCAAGTTTGATAACATTTGGTCCGGTAGTTTTCCTTTTATGAACCATTTCAGAATTGGAAACTTTAATTATAACCACCATGTCAAATTAAACTTTAAAAGTTTGGTTTCATCAAGACAATTTGGTTCAAGTCCCAGCTTTATATATATATATATATATAAATATAGTATTTTACATTAATCCTCTTAGAAAAGAATGTTTTAAGAAGCTAATTTTTCTCTCGCGTTATAGATTGTATAAAAAAAATGATTTTTAATATGATTTAGATTGTTTCAGCCGATATAAGAATCGGGTTACTCGGTGGTGCAGAATAAACACTGCTGGACTGTTTTATTTCTTTGTCATTTAGCAAAAAATCTTTTAATTAAAATATTTATCGTTTGGATTTTGCTCTATACTTTGTTTATTGTTAAAATGTCTAGAAAATGAAAAGCTGTCTTCAGCTGAAACGCAGTTGATGCATTTGGTATTTTAAAAACATTGACAGGAATGCAAAATTTATGGAAGTCTAGCAATCGAAAAATCTTAATTTTCTTGTGTGAGCACTGAAAATAACTGTAGAAGGAAAGAAGAAAATTAGGGAGAAAAGTAAGCAAAAATTTGAAGGGAAGTTTGGCTGTCAGATATGCCAAGATGTTTCAAAAAGTTGGACGCTTTTGAATATACTTTCAGGATACTTTAAAAGAATTTAGGTGTTCAAAGAGAAAACACTTGGACGTGTACCATCAATTCAGCTTGTGTTAACAAAAAAGACAAAAATGATATCATTGCAGATTAAAGTGAAGAGCGACTGGTTTTAGACTATATGGTTCGGTTTTAGACTGATAGTTCGGTCCGAGGTTCGAATCCCGCGAACGGGCTGGTTGCATGGGCGTTTTCGAGGTTTCCCCATGTGTAACGTGTATACGAGCCAGTTTCCCTTAGAAAGTCCTCCACGAAGGCATCCCTTCCCTTAGGCAGATAGCCCTAGTGCGATCTGTCATTATTAAATAAACCAAAACCTTTTCATGAAACCAGTCTTTCCTTTCATCTCATACCTTCAAAATGCTTAGCCTCTAAAGACTGATAAAGGCTCTGACCAAATACTGCTGAAATGGATTGAATTGGATTATTAAGTTACGGCAAAGCAGGGCTATCTACCTAAAAGGAAGGATGCCTTCGTGAAGAACTTTCTAATGGGAAACCAGCTGGCATACACGTTACACATGAGAAAATCCATGAAAACGTCCATGCAACCAGCCCGTTTACCGGGATTCGAGCCCCGGCGTGAACTACCATTGTTCAACGACTTTACCGCTAGGCCGTTTGTGGGCCTTTATGAAATGGAAGGAGATAACTTTATTTAAAATTATTGTCAGAAATACCAAGATGTTTCGAAAAGTTGGATGCATTTTAGTATACTTGCAGAAGGCCTGAAGAAAAAGAGTAAGAATAAAGCAGAATGCCTGAAGAAAAATTGTTTAAAGCAGTGTATGCAAGTCATCCTAAGTTAAAGTGTCGGTTATACATTTCTCTTATTTGTATATCTTTTCTGAACGGAACATTGAAAGGCGTTTTAAGTGTGCTGTACTGTATTTTCTTTTTTTAATATATGCAATTTTCAAATGCTTGTAGTCTGGGTTACAAAGTATTCTTCCGAAAGAAACGCAAATCAAATAAATAAAATCAAATTCTGGAAAATTTATATTAATAAATATATTTATAATGCTCGGTTCGAATGAATAAATAGAAATTTTAAAATAATTATCGGAAGAGACAATGCAACACTAACAATTAAAATAAAAGACCTAAAATAGTAACTATAACTAAAAATATAAAAATATAGTATAAAAATATAGTATAAAAAAAAGAATTTGAAAAAAAAAATATAAACGATGCACCTTTGATTTAAATTACGCAGTTCAAATGAGTAAATAAAAATTTTTAAAACAGTTACTCGAAAGAAACTACGTACATTTACATGTTTACTACGCCACGTATTTTACATGTTTACTACGCCACGTAAACATGTAAAATGAAATTCGAAAGAAAAAAAAAATGCTTAAAATAAATAACAATTATAATTAAAAATATAATATAAAGAACATTATTTGAAAGAAGGAACGATTCTTTTTTTCCTATTTGAAAGAAGGAACGATTGAGTTTTTTCCTCTCACGCACTATGTAAAAATGGAAATGCAAATAGTTTGCCACATATTAAGAAGTTCGCCAATTTTGGCGCAAACTGAATAAAAAGCGCCAACATAAATTGTTGAATTTCTCCGTAAATTTCGCATCAAATTTTTCAAAATTTAATATTTAGGCATAATTTGGGTCGTAGAATCGAAATATGTAAAAAAAGGGTATGTTATTTCAGAAAAAGTCCGATTTTGTGTCAAAATACCTATGTTAGAATAGTGCTATATATAAATCTAATATATTCCCTAAGTCGCGCTTTCGAGACATGAAGAACGCAATTTGAATTTCGTGAATCGGCCCAGTAGGACGGGAGATATAGAACTGTCCCCTCCCCCCCCTTTTTTTTTTTTTTTGAACAGTGTACATTCAAATAAATAAACATTCAAACAGCTACTTTTAGATGCTTCAAAAGTAATGATTGGCATGTCATTTAACAACTCCCGAAACCAATGCATTATGCCCTAACGTGATGGATGGAAACACGAGGTAGGAAAGGGGCGCAGGCGTTCGGGTGATCTACTGATATCTGAATGCGCGGGCATTTTGGGCGACTTCACTGTGAAAGAGTTAGAAAATGAATCTGCACAAAATGCATTTCAAATAATAAATGTAAGTTAAAATAAAATAGATGAAATGCTAATATTTTTATTACTTATAACACGATGCAGATAGAACTCGAATACGTTGAATAAAATAATCACGGGATTATTTACTTAAGTTTATCATTTTGAAATAAACTATTTGATAGGGGAAAAAGTATTTACAACATATGGAAGAGAAAAATGATGCGAATAGTTTTAAAATTTTCAGAACCTATCGTTAAAAAGCTAAGGGAAAAAAGGGGGAGGAAATACAGTATTTCTTCATGCTGGACTGAATACAGTTTAAACTGATGTATTTCTACTAAAAATTGGCCTTACGTTCATAATCAATAATCTCCCTTAAATTGGTTAATATTTTAAACTGGATACATGCACTTACGACTTCAAAAGACATTTCATAGTGCAGTCTTTTTGAAGAGTTTTGTACACAGTTGCATAAGCAGAAAAAGGTGGAAATCATCTATATAAGAACCTACTTCAAGAATTCCCAACACCCCTTTTTTAGCAACGACCCCTTTTAAAAGAATGGTTTTCTTCATCGATCCCTGACACTTTTCATTATAATATACAGCATACAAAGTAATCACAATACACAATGTAGAGTCATTAGGTCTTATTTCGGAAACAGGAGAGAGGAAAAATATGCATCGCCTTCGCCGGGAATCGAACCACGGACTTCTGGAATGCGCGCCCAACGTGCAGACCACCACATCACAAAGGCATGCCAAGAAGGCGGGAGAGATACCTTTTACATAAGTGACTTAAAGGGAAAAAGAAGACAGAGTCATTAATGTTGGTTCGGTAACAACTAATATTTCGGGATATTTCTATTGGATGACTTCCAAAACCTAGTGCATTCATGTGTTTTGAATATGAGTTTCGTTTGAACATCCTCTTTCAGTGTAATCAACCCTTCTTGCATCAAAACCTCAAGATCTAAAACATGGCAGTTCAACGATTTTATGAGCCAGTCTTGCATATTAAAAATTTCAGTGTCTTGGAATTGAAAATCATAATCTTTTAAATTTTGCAAGTGGCTTGTATCTATCTACTGAAAAAGTACAGTTCTTTTCCGTAACAGAAAATCACATTGAGTTATTCAAAAAAATTTAATTCTTTTTGATTGAATGCCGACATAAAGAAGTCAATTTTTTAAAAAAATCGAAAGTAATCATGATATACCTTTCCATCAATAAATAAATATTTATCAGCTTAAACAATATTTTTTGTAATCAGTTGGATCGCGATTATAACTATCAACTGGCGGACATATTCGGCTTTCAACTCCCAATTGATCCTTTACCATCATTGACTTCCTCTGAAATTTCACCGGCCCCCAGGTGGTCCATACTGATTCCATTGGCAGCTCCTGCTTTACTTGAATTTAAATGCAGACAAGATTTGTTGTAAATTAATGGTAATAATTTAAATTTTGCTCAGTTACGAAGTAGTAAGTGAAAATTTCAAATAGTGACATATACGATGGCCAGGAAAAACGTAGACTCTGAAAAGACTCGAGCTGGTGATTATAAACTGTAAGGGAAAGATTAAGCAAGTGCAAGTCTATCGGTAATATTATAAATAAATAGAAAGAAATTCAAAAATAAATACATAAATATGCAGGTACAATAAAATAGGATGCAACATACACTAACAAGGACAACATACACTAACAATTTGACTTACATATTATATACATTGAGCAGAGCAAGTGGTCTGTTTATGTTTGCAAGATCATTTAAGTCATAAAACTTACTTGTAATCTTTTTCTATTTGACCGACAGGTTAAGTCCAAATAGGGCATGCATAACAGAGCATGAGACGTAATATGGATTTGTAAATAAGTAACTTGTTTTTTTTTTTTTTTTTTTTTTTTTTTTTTTTCCTCTTACAGGAATTACGTTCTCCGTAGACGATGCAGTCAACAAAGCTGGTTACGGAGCATTTCAAGTGCGAATAACTTGCCTGGCAGGACTAGGATGGGTATGTGGTTGATACTCATACATATGATATCCAGAATTGAGAATTTGCAATCGCGCAAGGTTATTACCAATACTTCAATGGCTTTCAAAAGCTGAATTTAATAAAGTAGTGCAAATAAAATAAAGAGTACAGGTATCTTTTCTATAACACGGTACATAAATTCCTAGATAATACCGTGTTCTTTGAAACCGTGTTATACGAGACTAACAACTAATACAAAAGAGACGGATGCGTTCTGATAGAAAGATTTAAGCATAATATTTTTTTTTTTTTTTTAAGGATTGTTGCCTCTTTTAAAATTAAACGTTTCGCAACATTCAGATTCTATTTTTCCATTTATGAACCATTCGAATTATGTATTTTCGTCTTTTAAAAAATAAACTTTCCTATAAAAGTCGATGCTGATTTATCTTCCCCAAGTCAATTAACTGGATAACGCAGAAGCTCGTGATATTTGTCAAGAATTTGGAAGTATTTTCATTATAGAAGAATATCCAGCGAAACAGAATTCGGAGTCTATCCAATGGCATAACCAGAGAAATCGGTCCCCCATGGGCGGCATTTTTCACCTGTAACGTTATTATATGGGGTTAACCATCTGAATCTTCGAAGCAGGTAAGAATAATGAGATCCTGAATTGTCGTACGGAATTAAATTAAGAAAATGGATTTTACTCTAGGTAAGGAATTCAAAGAAATCAGGACGAGATTTCAACAGCTACATCCAACGTTATACTTTCTTTACTTCGCCGAAACATTTTATTGAAAATTACGAATATCAGCTAAATTGTGATAACAGTGGCTTTAATAAGGAAGCAGTCGTCTTGAAAAGAGAAATATTTTTTCCGTTGGAGTTTTCTTTCATTATAATTGCTAGCAGAAATGAAAGAGGAACATAGAAGGGCAGTCCTTTTAAATTTTGAAGTTCATTAGTTCCTCCAGAACAATGTTAATACAGCCTTCAGGAAAACGTTCCAAATATTGTAACACTATTGCGAACTTTCGTCACAACTGCTGTAAGCGTTCCTGAGGAGATTATTTAATAAAAATCATTGAAGAGGCATTTAGGAACTACAAGTACTTATTTTGCGTTAAAGCAAATTTTTAGTGTTGTTTACACAAGAGCAGTTGGAGCAAATAAGTAGACCTTTACTTATGTCATCCATGTTTTTGTAAAAAAAAAAAAAAAAAAAAAAAAAAAAAAAAAAAAAAAAAAAAACAGGCAGAATAATGATATAAAATGCTAGAATTGCAATTTTCCTTCTTTATTAAACATAGTGTTTTAATTTTTTCCCCTGGATATCACTTTGACATCGTTGTATTCCAAACGTGGCGGCAAATTCAGGGCGCCTCGGGAGGAAAAAGCGGTCCCTAAGCCATTTAGCTTTTAGATCGTGCAGGATTCTGTTTCTGAGCTGTTAATGATTCTGATGATTCCTTCTTGTTTTCGCCGGTCCTCGCGCTTTGGCCAGGGTCCCAGCTGCAACTCTTGCAAATTCGAAACTTTATCTTCCACAAAAGATTGCGTCTTCTTAACAGATAGACGTAGTGGTAAGTTTTTAGCCTGAAAATCAATTCAGATTTGTGATGAACATGATTATTATGCTGTTTTAATATATTTCGCTTATGCATATATTATTCTACGGAAATGATGGTCAGCCTATAGGCAGACAGACAGACAGACAAAGCAGACAGATGTCTTGTGTTGCACCCGCTAAGTCTTTCTGCACCGATGGGGGAGGCTGACGGTTATTCCTGCAGCTGCTGACGGTTGCGGTGAGCAGGACGCAAACAGCCGGTCTTCTGGCATACAGCCCTATCTCATGAAACCTTCAGGTAATTGTAGACGATGAAACTCGGGTTTAAGTGGCAGCATACAGCTCATGTGAGAGCCGTAGAGCTGTAGCAGCCCTGTCTCACAGCTCTGAAAAAGCCAAATAACGATACTCATTCGTCGTTGTACATCTTATCTGCCTTGCCCAGGTCTTCTTGATATAGATCCAGTGTCCTGAAACTGTTTCCACAAATTGTAGACGATACTGAGCATTACAATGAGCTCTGCAGCTCTCTGTGTTTGTGACTGGTCTGTCTACAATTTACCGACAAATCTCCATATTATACCATCAACCATACTTTCGTGGCTACTCATTTTACTTAATACGTTATAAAATTTACCCAACTCTTGTGAGAAGTACGGCGAATGTTGTGAAGGAGTGCGAGCACACAAATCGCCGAAAACCCCTCATGCGCTTATATCCTCTCCACAAACTCAACTTCGCAGAAATGCACATTATGCTTACGTATTCGATTCGGAATATTTTCATAATTCTTCGGCGGCATAGTTAGTATCTTTCGTTCAATACTTTTCGTAAAAACAGATATAATTTGAAAATTCTCTTAATTTTACACACGAGTGTATACATGTATATATATATATATATATAATATTTATTCAAACCGTATTGATTAATTGATATATTATCCCTAAGTTTAATTAAAGTAGAATTATTTTAAAGCCTACTGGTAAGTTTTATTTCGAAAGATGTTTTGAGTATTGAAACAAAATGTTAATAATGTTTTAACGGGACTAGTTAACAACGAAAAATATTACGTAAAAGTAAAAATTAAAAATAAAAATTAACGTTCAATGTCAAAAGAAATGAATTCCAACAAAATCGTCAAAGAAATTCAAAAAATCTCAACAACAAAAAATTACTACAACAAACCACAGATTTATGATGACCAAATAAAATTTGTAAAAACCTCCGACATTTACCCGAATAACTTAATAAACTAGTTTATCTTCAGACATTCAATTTCAATACTAAATTAATAAATTTGTCCCTATCAAAGTTAAAACTATGACAGATAAAAGTTCAGCGAATCCTTATCAAAATTCTCAAATAATCTAATCCCTTTATTTTCACCAGCTTAAAAGAGTCCTCACTCTAAACATTTAAGATAGGGACCTAACCCTGAGAAGGCGGTAACGTTGGATGACTGTTTGAAGATGTCTCAATTGTAATATTGAAAGCATTGAGACATTTATGGAATAAAAAAATGGGCCTATTTCCTGCTTAGACTGTCTACTTCTTGATAGAAATGCCTTCCTTTCTAACTTAATCATTCGAAACATTGCCAGAATTAATTATTTCCCACTAGATTTTTAAAAAAGTAAAAGACGGTCCTCTCTCAGATATCACAAATACCCCTACAAGATTCCAAGTCCCCCCCCACTACCATATATTTTTCACCCAAGTCTTGCCGACTAATTCCCCTACTGCTAAGATTCGACACCTACTCTGAGTCAGAAAGAAGAGACGCCAACTTGAATGTAAGTTACTTGGCTTTTATATGTCTTGGATCTTATTTAATTTCTATTTTATTAATATATGTTCTATTTGTTTTTGCAAAGTTTTGCATTATTTATCTTTTTTATAATCTTCTATGTTGATTTCAACTTTACTTTGATTCGATTTCATAAGACAATTTCCAATGTTTAATTTCTAAATAATATAGTACTCAATACATAAGATGATAGTGTCGGGGATATTACTCGAGTTTACAAAAGATTTCTCTACGTAATTGATTTTTACATCAATTGAATTGACTAAAATGCTTCATGAGAATCAGTTCTTTGAGTAACAACTATTCGCGGAATATTTGGCCTGACTAAATTGCCGTTTGGCTTTAATTTATAACCGAGTAAAGACGAAACACTTTCATATTTACGTATTTAATAATTATTTGATCTTGACGGGATTGGTTTGTTCCCTGAAAAGTCAACTAATTTTCCGATCAAGACAATAATTACATGTTTTAATTTTTCTTTAATTGTAATATTTTCGTGATGATTTAACTCCAGTCCCCCGTTAAACATTATTAACCATTTTGCTTTCAAATTACTCAAACATCTTTCAAAAATAACTTACCAGTATGACACACTTTTAAATAATCTACTTTAATTAAACTTAGGAGATAATATAATCAATTATCAATACGGTTTAGGAAAAATTATTATTAACTAACTTTGGAGGCAATTGCAAAATAATAACTTATTCGTAAAATTTAAGTCATAAAATATATATATTATATATATATATATTTTAGCACAAAAGAGCTACAAAACTTTCCAAAAGTAAATACTATCTTCATTCGTCGTTGTGGATCTGGTCGTTTCCATACTGGATGTGGATATTGGTCAAATTGTTTTCAAAATTGGAACGATATAAACAATGATTCAACCTGATATATTAATAAATTGTAAAACAAAGAAAAGAATGAACTATTTGTATTATTCAAATTATTCTTTGCTTTTTAATAAGTAGTTTGAAATCTAAAATTGACTGATCAAAATTACTTAAAAACATAAAATTTGAATAAATAGACAAATATAATCACTATCAAAAGCATCAAAAGAGATAAGATCTAACAATATTCTCTTACACTGTCATAATCAGTAATCTTTTGTTTGCACCAATTAACTGAGGTATCCTAATTAATAATTTAAATAAATTTCAACAATTTTTAGATGATTTCATTGTCTATTTAGTTAAGCAATTATTTAATCAATCCTAGCAGCAATTACGCAGGATATTGTTTAAATATTTACGCCCTTTTTTTCAAATCTAATAGTTTATGTATATATACATATATACATATATAATAGATAGATACTAATTAATTTGAAACATATGTAGTTTTTGTATACTTTATATCTATATCTATATACTCGTATATAATCTTGTATTATTGACTAATAGCAATTCGCTATCTATTTTATTTTGTACATTTGCCTAACCAGGCCAGTTTGCATAGTTTTTTCTTAAACCATTAATGTGTTTTTCATTTACTATTACAAGCTGTCGTGTCGGGAAATGAAACAGAAAAATTGAGACTAAAGTTTTTATCTAGGTTATTTTATCAGTTAAATATTCAAAAAGTTTCGAGTACAGTCTCTATTTTCTGTTTTGACGACAGGCGATATGGAATTAGCTTTATTCGAGAACCATTATGCATTTTCCCTAAGAATATTCGAGTTGGGCTAATTTACCATTTACCGCTTTTTTGTACTTTTTGTATTCTTGCTTATGTCTTATATAACTATTCTATTTCTGTTCAGCTATTTTAAGCTTGTCTTAACTTTAATCAACATATTACTTCCAATTTGATTTGAGATTTTAATACGCTTATTATTTTTAACTATTTTAATGATAATTTCGTTTATTTTGTAGTTACACTTTTCATTGCACTTTATTTTAACTTGTGTTAAAAAAATTTTTCATCCGAATCACAGTATCACTACTGCTTCTGGCAAAAGCATGAAGAATTTACTTTTTACCTTGTTTTCTAATTTTTGTAGCTCAATGCACAAACTTCTTGACCACAAAGGTCTTTTTTAGGTGTATATATATATTGATTGTAAAATTTAAACTTTAATCGCAGATTATTGTTCTGTTTTAATAAGCAGCTTTGTGATTTCGTTATTTACAGGAATAGACTGAGATTCTTGAGAATGTTTAATTACCTAGTTCTTTATTTTGGACCATAATTTAGTTGAGGTTTCAGGCAGTTCAAAAGAAATCTTTAATTGCAGTATATAAAAGAGTTTTACAATTTTAACCTTTTAATATACTACAACTTGTTATGTGAAATAATAAAACTGGCTTCTGGGGTTTATTAAATATGCATAACTTTTCCATGCAATATAAATAGTTAAATTTTATATTTGATCATTACTTCCTTTATAGCTTTGGTTTATTTTTATCTCCCGACATAGCAAAAAAAAAAAAAAAAAAAAAAAAAAAAAAAAAAAAAAACCTTCATTTTGCTTTTGAAAAATTTTGCGCTTTTCTGCCATTAGTAATAACTGAAACCTTCATTTTGCTTAAAAAACAAATTGTGAAAGAATAGGCTGAAGTCATTTTCTTCTTTATTTTTCAGTTAGCAGATGCCTTTGAAATTATCATCTTGTCTGTGATTGGAGATTTTATTGCATGTGACTGGCCATTATACAGATGGCAGAACGCCCTGCTGACATCAGTAAGTTTAAATAATTAGCATTTTTTTACACTTATCATTGCTTATTGTTTCATCCTCAGGTATAGTTTCAAGGTTACGTTGATAAAGAACCTCGCTTAACCGAATTTTATTAAGTGAATGGCGAAGAAAATGCTACCGATACATAATATGTCCCTTGGCAACGTTTTACTGTGAACGTGGAAGTGTAGAGTAATTATAATTATTATTATTATGGAAGTAGAAGACATGAAAACTGTAGCGCCCTTTCCGAAATTTGAACACCTGACTTGGTGCTTATCCAGTTACACCATGAAAGCACGTGGAAAGGAGAGAGAAAATATGTTACAGATTTACTATTACTGATTATTGTGTCTAAGGGGCAGTGAATATACAGATCATCATATAATGGAATGCTCCTTAACGAAACAATACGTATTAAATTTTCTGCAGCTAATATCATTCGTTTCAAAAGACTCCTTATTAAGAAAAGACATCTTTTTCTTAAAATTTCTAAAATTATAAATCTTCTTTTAGCATTGGGAAAGATATTTGCATTCCGGCTTAAAATTACGAAGATAATAGTAGCATTTACTTCGAGTGCATCACGAGTGGTAGCGTGGAGAGTCTCGAGAGTACGTGGAGTTCCCAGAACGACCAAGCAGAGTCGGGAGCTGTATTCTGGTGCTTTGCAGGAAGCTGTCTCCACCGTTATTGCCTGACAGTGTGAAGGCTGTGTCGCTGAACATGTCAGCGTGTTTATAGTAGTTCTTCGACGACTAAATCAAAGGTAATACGTGCTCAGTAGGTATAACGAATATTGTACAAAGAGTATATATTAATATATTAACTATCACAATATAATATTGAACTGGGATTAACAAGCGGTCTGAAAAGTTTTCTTAAACCTCAGTTTTTTATTTTACATCACTACTTTTTTCGACATAAGAATACTTTTACTATCTAACTCAGAGAAACGTTTTTAAGTCAAATCGTGTAAAAACAAAAGTCAAAAGTGCGTATTATTTATTAGGTTCATAAATATTCACTGAATATTTCATTAACAGACAATAGAAAATATGTTTCTACATATAAATGTGTTATATATTTCAATCATATTTGTAGACATATTGATGTGTAAATGTGTACAAATGAAACTACAATATCAGCAAAACACTGGAAATAGCTCTGTAAAACCAATAGAATCGTGAGTACCGATATACCGTCTAAATGATTCATCAAAAAGAATAATCAAATATGAGAGCAAATATCTAAACGTTCGTATTATTACAATTATTATTATTTAAGATAAATTAATTATTTTAGTAAAATTATGAATAAAGTTATTAAAAATGTTACAGGTATTTACAGAAATTACTAATACAAATCATGATTGAAAGAATTGTTCGTATTAGAGATGATATAACTGAAAATTAATACTAAAATTTTGCACTGAATAACTGCCTATTCATATTGTCTGAATGATTGGATGTTTGGTTTCAACTTTATATGTTACAGCTTTTTAGTTTATAAAATATTTCATTACAAAATATTTCATTACAAAATATTTTATAGACTAAAGAGTAACGCGAAATACAGTATTTTTCTCATTATATAAAAATTGTTAGTACCACAAAAAAAAAAAAAAAAAAAAAAAAAAAAAAAAAACTACTCTGTAAGTTAATATGTAGTAGAAAAATGATATCGAAAATTCTGGTGTTTTACCACAAAAAACTGCCCTGTATGTTAATATGGTGCGAATAACTGAATTTTTTATATCAGTTTTAGAAGTTTTAAATATTTAGTTTTATAAACCATATAATATTTATCTCAGTATTTTTACAATTTCATTATTTTATACTTCAAAGAGTTTATCACACGATACTCTTGGACTTGTTTTAGAAAACGATTGGCAGATATCTTGTTTTTTCATTGATGCTTCAACTTGAACTTTTCAAATATTTTGGGACTCAAAAACAACGTCAAGAATTCAGTGCATTTAATTCGAATCGATTTTTCTAAATATTTGAAAACGGGTTCCTTTCCGTATGGTAGTCTTAAATCGAAACCAAACTGCTTGGTAACATGTTTCTGCCATTTGGTAATTTCTATACATTCTGATAATACCAACCGACTTGTTGATCATAATAAGAAATGTATTTTCTATATTTTTACATATAAATAGACGGGATTTTGACAAATCGATAACAATAACCAATTGATAAGATTAACCTCGATCACATTAAGAGGCGTCTCATGTACTGTAGGCGAGTGTAACTAGAATTGAAACCGAAAACTAAATGGAGATAAGTTGGGGAATAAGGTGAATTGGAGAAATGAGATGAAGCCACTGTCAACGCGACAGGAGGTACATTTTCTTGATTTAGGATTAATTCTTTCTCAAATTTCACTCATTGTATTCTTCTCAATCATACTATCTCTCAGTGTGTGTATCGAACGCGTGATATTCATCGTTGATAGTGTAGCCTTTCATCACAAAAACAGCCAAAATTAACACTTCATTTTTGTTCTAAGACAATGTTTCTGGGGTATAGTCCAGCGGACCACTTCTTGATGAAAGATATATAGCACATTTTTGATTGAGATCTCCAAACAGTCAGATATTGTTTACCAGTATAAATCCACGATCATACCAGCACAGCTTTGATGTTTTGCTAGGTTGTTGCCGTCTCTGGACCTCTATCTCATGGTTCATCCAAAATATTTTCGTGGCCATGCTGGAAGTCAGCGACCTGCCTTTTAATAGTTGCATATAATACGACTTCGTTTCCTAATATCTGCAGCATACCCTTGCGAAATTCTGTTACAGTGACCTTTCCGACAGAGGTATCAAATCATAACCTTGTAAGCCACTTTCTTCTCTAATGCTTCATTAATGCATTTGAAAAATGCAGGAAAAAAATATGCCATTTTCACGAATTTTCGCACAGTGTGTCACAAAACTCCAATCTAACATTATGCAAACTATTTATTACTTTGTACTGATTCTGCTAGGCTCAGTGGTTTACACTCCTCTTCCTTAAAACTATAGCAGTATGTTTTATTCCTTATTAGTGCGAGGGCGGTGGTTGAACCTCTGTGTATAGTTCTAAGGGGCGAAGGAACTCATAGTGTGGTTCACTCTCGTGGAATGAGGAAGCCCTTACCTTACTTACTTATTCCTTATTAATAAATCAATTTCAAATGTTTAAAATAAACATCTTTTTTTCACTAGATGGTGTTTGCAGGCATCATGATAGGCGCCCCTACATTAGGAATCGCTGCTGATATATACGGAAGGAAAAAGGTAAGTTATAAAACTAATCTGTTTCACAGAAAATAAAAGAATTTCTTATTGTGATTTTACTCTTCTTAGGTATTAATTTATGGCATTAGAAACATATTTAAATAATTCCAATAACGATGCAAATAGTGTATTCACTGGCATATTTCCACTCTTTTTTTACTAATTTTATCGTGCGAAAATGGAAAGGAGAAAATTATGAAAATTTTTCAATTCCAAAGGATGCGGTTGCAGTAAGAATATAACAAATGAAAAGTAGTGGTGAAAAAACTACTTTTAACTATTAATAATATTAACAGTATAGTAATATAATAGCAGTAATATTAACATTGCCACTATCTAATGAAATATCTTTATTTCTCCTTCCTGTATTTTGAATGTCGTCTGCATGGTCACTGTATTTCACTATCTGTATTTCAGCATACAATGATTTTCAGAATCATCACGATCATCAGAATATTCCATTTTCTTGAAGAATTTCACTATTATTGCTTCATCAGTCAGAGCCTATGCAACCAAAATCTCATGAACAAATCAATTATCAAATCAGTCTAAGATGAAAACAATCACTATAGAAAAAAATCCATTTTTAAAACTTAAGGAATCTCGCTTTCTGAACGCCCTGAGCAGGCGAAAATTACGGGAATACTTCAAACATTTTTTTTTTCAAAACCTACGAGGACAAAGTTTTGAATAAATACGATAATTAGTTTCACTTCTTTGGTTATTACTTTCAAAGTTCACTAGCTCTTAATATATAAAACTTTTCCGCGTGATATACACTAATATACTGGCATTTGATTTACTACAATTTATAATATATAAAACTCAAGAATTTAATCTTTTATAAAGTAAATTAAAAAAACCTCCTTGATAAGTGGCAGACTTTGCTTAATGAACAATGTTCGTTTTGTGGAGGGGGATGCGGGTGAGGTAGTGTGTAAACGATTATTTTCACCATAGTTATCCATACATTGCATTAAATATAGACACTGATTGGAAATAAAATCCCAACACTAAAGGAAGAGTTGTGCTAGGTGTACTTTAAATAGATAATAGTTTTCACACTTCACGCTAGACGAAAATATATCGCCACTATAAACGTGCAAATCACGTTTGCTTTTAAACCCTGTGACCAGCCAGGCTGTCACACCCTATAGCCCGATGTATATATATATATATATATATCAGGCTATATATATGGCCTAGGATACACTTTGTGACACCTTTGAAAAAGTACGTACACGTGAATCTTGAAATATGTTCAAGAAATTAAGGCAACTCTCAAACGGGTATAAAGAATTAAGGCAATATATTAAAAGTATCCAGACATAAAGAACAAGAGGTGTTTCGACATTAAAATCAAGAAAACACCTCTTTCTCAAAGTAGTTTTGGGAAATCTGAGGTTTCTTGGTGAAACCCTTTGTCGGTTAGAGTGATCAATATGCTATGTAAACTTCGTGGACTTTATTTGCATTCCTGACTGAACGCGGTGAGCAAGATTTGAGTCAAAAACACCTTCAAAGAGACGAAAATGCCAGCACCAGCAGCATACGAGAAGGTGGATTTACCTTTTGCGATCTTACAAACAGACTTGGCAGGGGATACATATGTATTGGCAGTGGTTACGGGAAGCTACTGACTCAAGAAGGCCGGGGTCCGGCCGCATATCTGCCATTATTCAAAGGTTACTTTGATAAGTATGTCCTAAGGGCACGGTTGTGACACATTAGCACGTCGTGTAAAATGTATTTTACAGTTCATCTTGGAAATGTTTGGAAAAATATTAACCTTACACTTTGAAATCCATGTCTTAAGAATATGATTGTAACTCACTTAGTACATCATACGGAACACACATAGCTGGTATTGGGAAACGCTGCGAAAAATACCAGCGCTGTAAGCTGAAACGCACTTACATGGATGTGCTATTATCCTAAGAGCACGGTTATAACACACACTACTTAAAACCTTCGTCTGGAACGCATTTTGTAGCATTTGATTGGAACGTTTCAAAAAGTAGCAATGTTGTACGTCCAAATGTACGCACATGCTACGAACACAGTTGTAATACACACCACATTAGCCCATACTTGTACCATTTGGAATGTATGTGTTGAGAACGTTTTGATGCGTACCGATTTTCTGCATTTAGATGTACTTTCTAAAGACACGATCGTTACACGCACAATTTTAGCCCGTCGTATAGAACGTAGTTTATAGCACATGCTGGGAACGCTTCGAAAAATACTAATGCTGTACAACGAAATGCTACATGTTTAAAAAATTGAATTTGAAATTTCACACATACAAATATATATCACATTCAAACTGTATTATATGTTCACATTCCCTTGATTCGTTACAAGCATGCCATTTATTTGTGAATTTTTACACTTTTTTCTCTACATTTACATGTAGTTATTCCTATCTAAAACATTTTACATTTCCTTAACAATAAATTTAAATATTTCAAATATTTCAAATTTATAATTAAAAATTTCAAATGAATTAAATATTTCAAATGAAATTCGGGTTAATCTTCCATTCTCTGTTTTCTTTTCCAGTCCCTCACTGCGTCTGTGAGTTTGTTGTTCCTGTTTGGAACCGTGAGTGCGGCCTCTCCCTCCTTCATATGGATGGCTGTCTTCAGATGTTGCATGGGATTTGCTCTTGGTGGCGTTGCACAAGGGTAAGTATCAGTTGATACTCACCTTGCTCATGAATATAAAGAAATAAAAAAAAAAAAGAAAACTGCGGAGACCATAAAAAAATAGTACATAATGAAAGAGCCCATAACAAAAAATTCCACGATAAAGTAGCTTCTGACGAAATAAACCAAATATAACTATAAATACCGTATTTCTAGTTTTAATTCCGAAAACTGCGAATGTCGACATTTTATATCATTCAACAAAATACGCATGGAGCTTTAGTACCTAAAAATAAATAAAAAATATTTCATATACTTTATATACTTTTCTTAAACAAAAACAAGATCTTATCCGTTAAGCCACAAAAATCAGTGTTTATTGACATTTATGTTTTAAGATTGTTGCGATACTTAAATACTTTTTTTTTTTTTGCTCGAAACATGTAAATCTTCTGTAAATTATATTATAAGTATAATTTAGAATACAGAGCAAAGTATACCAAACTTTTGTACACCGCGGCAACCTGCATGGAGAAATTATTACTAAAGCAATCTATTTGACAATTGGTTGTGAAACATTTTAAATAAGCCAGCATATGAATAAATTATATTACGAAGCCAGCTATTTCAAAGCAGAAATACAAACTGTGATAGGTGTTACTTTATTCTTTTACATTCAATACACGCGGCAAAAGTAAAAATGGTGAACTGATCGAAGCAGTAAGCATTGAGGAATAACATCCCGGTGGGGAGGCGGTCAGAGAGTCTCCTACTCCTCTTACCCTGCCAACACCCTCTCGAGTAGATTTCGGTTCACTGTGTATTTTAAGTGCCCCCTTGCTGCGTAGACCATGGAGGTAAGAATAAACCTAATAAAATTACTTCCTACCTCCATGGCACAGACACTATAAGTTTACAAATATAAATGCCTTCTCCGGAATTTGAACCTGGTCCCACTGGTACTGCAGTTAGCGTCACTAGCCACTATACTCCCTGGGCGGTAGCTTCTATGATTGTACGTTTTCAGGGTGAAAGTAAGCTGTAACTGATTAGGCACTGACACTGAAATTTAATAAATGGAGTTCAGAGATGTGATAACTTACCTAAGTGTACTATAATATAATCCTTTATTCATCATAGTGTGACTTAAATGAACATTTAGGAATTTCTTGTTAAATTTCGCCTCTTTTAGTTTTTATTTATTTATTTATTTAATCATTTTTAATTATCTAATTAACTGCATCCATCTACACTGGTTATCATAAATAAAGGAAAAATCACGATTACTGAAAAAGTTACATGTAGATTTTTATGAAACGTACCCACAATATACAACACATAAAAAGGTATCAAATAACAAAAAATAAATTACCAGACAATTATGGTAGTATAGAAATTAGCACATGTATAAAACGAACAAATCGAAGGTGTCAGTTTTCTATAGGAAAAGTACTTTCAATATGGAATATGGTCGCCTCTAGAAGGAATACTGCACATACAGCGATGCGTGATGCTTTCAATTATGCGGTCTATCATCCAAAAGAAGCGAGAGCCATTGCTCTTGCAAAGCAGTTGCAAGCGCGGCAAGGGTCTGAGGGGGGCGGATTGACAGCAGTTATACGTCTCTCTAAAGCATCCCAAACGTGCTCGATAGGATTCAAGGCCGGGGATCGAGCTGGCCACTCCATGCGCATAATTGTTTCCTTGATCATTCACGATCAAGATAATAGATGATAGAAGAATAGATGATAATCATTCACGATGCAAGCCCTGTGTGGTCTTGCGTTATCGTTCTGTAACAGGAATTCATCACCTATTGCCCGGCACATGGGCGCACATAAGCATTAAGGATGTCATCTCTATAAACCGGAGCATTCACGATTTCCGTTGGAAAGACATGGAGGTCTGTGCGTCCACCCAAAGGGATGCCACCCCAAATACAGACACTGCCTCTTCCGTATGCATCTCTAACGGATGTTTGACGGATGATAACGGGTGCCAGGTTCTCTCCATATCAAATAACGCCTACTATCGCTTTCTAGACTAAACCTAGACTCATCCGTAAAGAGGACAGCCTCCACTGATCGGGCGTCCAGTAGACATGTTGTCGTGCCTGCTGCAAGCGGTCTCTCCTATGGCGGGACGTGAGCAGCACGCAAAGGGCTGGTCGCCTCGCATACAGACCCCCTTCCTGAAGCCTTCTACGCACAGTTGACGTTGACACCAACCTTCCGGTGGCTGCAGCAAGGGAAGATCTAAGAAGAGTCGGTATTTGATATAAAATGCTATGAGTTACGAGAGATAATTGGCGCTGGTTCCAAAATAAAACTAACTAAGGTAGGCCACACAAATATTTAATTATTTACATAATGTACAAGGTTACAAGTTATGTGCTCCATTAGCACGGACAAAGAGGAACGAACGAACGCACCATAGGTCCGCTGCGTACCTTCTTCAACAACCAACTCAACTAAATTTTGCTCCTCTCACAAGAGGGCGCTGATCCTAGAGGGCGCTATATTAAATCGAACATTCCGGCCCCCATTGAAACAAGTTTCAATAATGCCATAAAAGTTTTACAATCAAATTCAAATTTAGACATACATATGAAATACACAATGAAATGCAATTTAACGCAAATTATTTCAATTACAATTAAATTCAATATCATATAATATAAAAATTAAAATATTATACTTGCAATACAAATACATGCAAATTATACACATACAAATATTATACTTGCACTAAATGAATAATGTAATAATGTCCATTCATAATATAAAAAATTTATATCTGATAGTTGTCTGGTATAGGAAAATACTTAATTTTGTGATAGGCCTTTTAAAGAGACCTTTTGCCGTGCGTACACTAACTACTCTAACTCTTTTATCCAATCAGGGTATAATTTCTTCAACTTGGCCTAAAATCCAATGACAAATAGGCAAATTGTCTTCCTTCACGAGCACCATAGTTCCAGATTTAACGTTATCTTTTTTAAGCCATTTCGTTCTCTCGTGAAGTTGCGATAAATAATCCCGTTGCCACCTTTTCCAAATATTTTGAGTCATTTTGGTGACTCTTTTCCATCTATACAATCTGTTGTCAGACTTATTTATAATTTCTGGTTCTATAGGGGCTGTTATAGAACGGCCAATTAAAAAATGTCCAGGCGTTAACGCATTAAAATCCATTGCATCTGAAGAGAGAGGAGAAATTGGTCTGGAGTTTAATATTCCCTCTATTTGTGTTACTAAAGTTAAAAATTCTTCAATAGTTAATTTTGAATTCCCAACCGTTTTTTTAAAATGCGTTTTGAACGATTTAACGTCTGCCTCCCAAAGCCCACCAAAATGCGGTGCTCTAGGAGGTATAAATTTCCACTCAATCTCCTCTGACAACAAATAGTCGGATAACCCTTGTTCTGGTACTTTAGCTCATTTAAACAGCTTGTTTAATTCATTTCGTGCTCCACGAAAGTTTGTAGCGTTATCGCTAAATATGGTTGAGCTTTTCCCTCTCCTAGCGAAAAATCTCTTTAGGGTAGCAATTAATGCTTCCGAAGATAAGTCTGAGACAATTTCTAACTGAATTGCTTTTGTAGCAAGGCACACAAATACTGCAACATACATTTTTTGAAAAACTCCTTTTCTTTTATTTTTTGCCTTTAATCAAGAAACGGACCACAAAAGTCTAGTCCACATTTGTTACAGGTTGATTCAACTGACACTCGTTCAGAAGGCAGATCACCCATTATCTGATCTATTGGTACAGGTCTGTGTTTGAAACACTGTACGCATTCATGTACTATTTTTCTAGCAAGATTCCTGCCGCTGATGGGCCAAAACTTTTGTCTAACAGTTCTCAATAGAGCTTCTGGTCCAAGATGCAAATATTTCAGATGATAATAGTACATGATCAAATAAGTCAACCTATGTCTAGCTGGCAAAATGATTGGATATTTACAATCATAACTTACCTGAGATTGCGCAAGTCTGCTACCGACGCGCAAGATTCCATCATTATCGATGAATCGATTTAAAGACTTAAGCTTGCTCCTACGAGGTACTTGGCTATCCCTCTTAAGTGACTCAATATCAGAATAAAACTCACCTTTCTGCACTTCCCGAATCAGTGTTAACTCGGACCCTTTCTGTTCCTCTAAGGATATAGGCCCTGAAACCCTTTCCTTATTCTTAATGATTCTGAAGAACCTAAAAATAAAACTACAAATTTTGATTAATTTTATATAATTATTTGTTCGATTTAAGAGAGACGTTAAACTAGAATTATTTTCTAATATTGCAAAATTAGAGTCTGATAAACATTTCAGTTCCTTGACATAGTCATTATCAGTGGTAGGCTCAATAGGTTGTTCTGGATAATGCATGTCCTCACGGAGAAGGTCTGGTCCATTCCACCAGATATCACACATAAGAATGTCACTGGCATACAGTCCACGCGATATGACATCAGCTGGGTTACATTCAGATGGCACATATTTCCATTGGCATGACCCCGTAAGCTCTTGTATTAAAGCGACTCTGTTACTCACGAAAGTTTTTAGCAAGTGTGGTGATTTTCTAATCCAAGTAAGAGAAATCGTAGAATCAGACCAAATAATCACTTTTTCTACTTTAACATTCAACGAAGATTTCACTTTATCCATCAATCTGGATAATAGAAGGCAACCTGACAGTTCCAATCTAGGAATTGATAAGGTTTTTATAGGTGCAACTCGTGACTTGCTACACAAAAGTCGAACGGGTGGCAATCCCGAAACTGGTAAAGCTTGAACACAGATTGCAGTTCCGTATGCCGAAGATGACGCATCTGCAAATCCATGGAGCACTATGTGATTTTCCTGGAATACAAATCTAGGAATCTTATACTACTATCTTACTTAGTTCAGAGAGCGTGGATACGAAATTAATCCTTGGCCATAGAATCTGACAATGTGTCATTCCAATCGAGTTTAGCAAGCCAGAGCCTTTGCATGAATATTTTGGCCTTTGTGACCACTGGCCCAATTAAACCAT